GTGTACATTTATATATACGTAATAAATATACACAGTGCACACATATATTACGGTATGTAAACAAAAACTTTTATTTTGGATGCGATTAATCGCGATTAATCGTTTGACAGCACTATTTTCTACACAATTTTTCTCCGGACTTTTCCAAGGACCCCCACCAGCACTAATTTACGGGCCATTAGGGGTCCCCGTCAGCCCGCTTGAGAAGCCCTGTATCAAAACACACAGCGGAACGTTCATCCGCACACAGTTCCTGCACGGAGCCTACTGGTGTAACACACGACAGAAAGTTCCATCAGCATGGTTGTCTCATGGTGCAGTTATAGGTAGTTCTTTTACTAATATAACTGTTGAATGCTTTTGAAGTAATATATTCTCACAGACTGATAGATATAGATGCATTTTCCATAATGAGATCCCTTTGCCACGTCACCAAGTGAGCAAAATCAAACGCGCTCGTTTTCTCAGACGCTTGCAGAAAAAGGCTTACCAAAACCAAGTTACTGGGTTAATCTTTTTCACATTTCCTTGGTTGGTAGATGCACCGGGGACCTGATTATAGCACTTAAAACCTGGAAAAGTCAGATTTTCATGATATGTCACCTTTAAGTTATCTGGCATCCCCCTTTTCTGGGGCCCCCAGTTGGGCCCCGGACCCCTGGTTGAGAACCACTCTTTTAGGATGGTTCAACATTAGAGGAACTGCTGATGGATATTTTTCTCTTTGAGTGGACTGATAATAAATTATTTTCTGTTTTTTTTTCCAGAACTTCGAAGCCACAATGGAAAGGTAAGTCCTCTGCCTCCTGTCACTCTCTTCTGGCTGTGAACTCAAACCCACTGCAGACTGATCTTTCAGAGCCCGGAGCCCACAGCAGGAGCCACACATGAGTCCTGGAGCTTTGATTAATGTGGCAAATCACTTGGGCAACCTGACATTTGGAGTCTGGCTGAAGATGCGATATATTGTCCAAAAAGGTGAGTCTTTAAGTATAAATATTAGCGCTGGGTTTATAAATGAAAAATACAGATTTCTCGCATACATCGATTCTCATTTTGATGAACCGATATCGATTCTTAAATCCCAAGACTCTATCTGTTTTCAGTTGATGCGTGAACTAAACGTTATTTGTAGCGCGTTTCCTATCAGATGTCAAATAGATGTTTGGAAGATGTCTTTAAGATGTTTATGATTTAGAATGTAAAGATGTCTATCAGATGTTTGTACACAGCAGATGAAGCGATCTTTAACAGACATCTTGCCTGTACTATCTGGGGTTTACAGCATAAACACAGCAAAAAAAATTACATGTACCGTACCTGATTGCATATATATCCAAATGAATCGATATCGAATCAGATTGATTTGAAATCAAAACTGAACTGAGCCTATGTGCATACATGATACATCTCTAACTTTTGACTGTTTTGTCTCATCAGCTCCTGTGATTCTGGACCCCAACACTGCACATCCTGAACTCAACCTGTCTGATGATCTGACCGGTCTGACATGGAGCACAGACACTCAAGCCGTTCCCGCGAATCCAGAGAGGTTTGACGTCTATCCATGTGTTCTGGGCTCTGAAGGCTTTATGTCAGGAACACATTGCTGGGATGTGGAGGTTGGCGACAATACGCACTGGACTCTTGGAATAACCACAGCATCCAACCCCAGGAAGGGATTCACGTTCTTTGGCAAAGATGTTTGGTGCATGTGGTACAAAAATAAAGAATATTTCTCTTATTACCAGGAGCAAGCCTACACTCCTATTAGTGTTAAAGAGAAGCTGCAGAGGGTGAGAGTTCTGCTCGACTGGGATCGAGGAAAAGTGTCATTTTCTGATCCTGTAACCGACACTCAGCTGTGCTCATTCACGACAACCTTTACACAGAGACTCTTTCCCTTCTTCTCTAGTGTTTGTGTCACTTCTAGTTTGAGGATCCGACCGGTTAAAATATTTGTGACAGACAAGCACAGTTAGATGTGATTCTGTATATTTCATGTTGGAAATCATGTGCTTAATAAATACTTTTTCATTGCATTTTCTTTATTTCCTGCGATTTTTCAATACAAAATTGCTTATATGCATATTATAATAAAAGAAAAACAATGCATGGCTTTTGTTAATAATAATAATAATAAATAAAATATCAATTCTGCCAAATTAAAGGCTTTTAATGAGGCACATTTTGGCAAAAATGGACATACACTGTAAAAAACATATTTTTTGAAGTTGTAAATAAAATAAAGATTATTGGAGTACATTATAAAAGAAAATACTATTTCAGTTATCTACTTCAAAATTTCATGTTTAATTCAATGTGTTGCTTGCCATTTTTTTGTAATTATTTCTGTCATTTCCGAGTGACATCCATCTAAAATTGACAAGGCCGATATATTTTCATATTTTCCCATTGTATAAAGACCCAAGTTATACTGTAAAAAATTCATATTATAAACTTGTGTAAAATATTATTTGGAAAGTATTTTTTTTTTTTTCATTTTTTAAGTCAACATAGTGCTATTCTGCCTATTTATGTATTTATTTTAATCAAGTTATTTAATCTTATTTTTTATTGTTTATTGGTACATTTGTATTAGTGCTGTCAAACGATTAATCGCGATTAATCGCATCCAAAATAAAAGTTTTTGTTTACATAATATATGTGAGTGTACTGTGTATATTTATTATGTACATATAAATACACACACATACAGTATATATTTAGAAAATATTTACATTTATTTACATGTACCTCACAGAGTGATAGATATATATACATTTTCCATATATATATATATATATATATATATATATATTTACTATTTTCCGCGTTACCATGCATGTCATAGGTCTGCCATAACGCTAGAAAGCTTCCAAATAACATGTAAACATCTGGTGAAATTCATGTAATAACAGAAAAAGCTGAAAAACACCTACGTTTTTTTTTTATTATTCATTAGGTTACTTAAATAAAACCTTAAGATGTCTAAAGTTAAACTGAAGAAACGTGCTGAAAGTGTTCAGACTAATGGTCAGTCAAAACAGAAGAAGAAAAAGAAACATGATAACAATAAAAAGACGTTCTTCTACGACACAACAACAGTCATAAATAAGAAAACGAAACCAAAATCTGTAAAGCTAAGTATTATGCCCCCCACAAAAGTTGAAGAGTATTCGTGCAACTGGAAGACGTTACTGCAGGTAAGAGGAATTATTTACCATGGTAAAATCATATTGAATTCCTGTATTAGTAATTCTGAATGGGAAATGCATGTCAGCTGTTTTTACATTTGGTGTGTGTGTGTGTGTAGACTATTGCTGCAAATCCTGAAAAGCAGGATGCAAACGCTAAAGGAAAGCAGCTTCAGAAGACGCCGTCAGTTTCCAAAGACTCTCATAAACCAGATAAACCCTTCAAAAAACCCGCACGGACTGTCAAACCTGCTTCTGAGACGTCTGGAAGAGCAGAAAAAGATAGATTCCAACAGAACGGAAAAGACTCCACCGGACACAAACAATTCAAAGCAGAGAAGAGGAAAAGAAAGGAGGAAAAAGAGAAACAGATGAACAAAAAGAAGAAAGTTGAGGAGGTGGAAATGAAAACCACGGAGTACGTGTGTGTTTTAGTGCTGCTTCATTTTATATGACTGTCCTGTGGAAGCTTGTTTCCGCAGTGGAATTAAAAAAATTAAATCTTAAGTTCATATCTTCCAACTCAGGCTTTTTTTCAGAATTGTGAGATATAAACTCTCAATTGCAAGAAATGTGACATAAAAAAAAATTGCAATTACATTTTTTTTACTTTTATTCCATGAAAAAAAAAAATTGCGAATTAGAATTTATAGAAATAAAAGTCAAAATTGCAAGACGTAAAATTTGCAAACGAATTTTGAGGGGAAAAAGGTCTGAATTGCAAAATATGTACTCAGAATTCTGAGAGAAAAAGTAAAAAATTGCAAGACAAACTCAGAATTTTGAGAAAAAAAGTAAAAATTGCGAGACATAAACTCCGACAAAACTGGGCGTAACATAAAAATTTTCAATCTTTTAAACTCCCACATTTGATCATCATTGTGTGAGAGACTCCCATGCTAAAATTTCAATTCCATGCTATATTTTTTCATATATATAAAGACTCAATTTATACTGTGAAACAGTAATATTTTAAATGTGTAAAATATTTGGAATTTTTTTAATGTTACATTTTCTTCTCGCTATAGTACTGTTCTTTTAGATTTATTTATTTTAATTCTTTCAAAAGAAATTTAAAAAAGTCAAAATTGTGAAGTGTAAAATTCTGTGAAAAAAGTCAGATTTGCGAGACGTAAAAATCTGAATTCTGAGGAAAAAGTCAAAATTGGGAGATATAAACTCGCAGTTATGAAGAATAATGTCTGAAATGTGAGATTTAAGAGTCAATTACCTTTTGAATTTTTTCTATTCCATGGCGGAAACAAGCTTATATAATGTATTCTTTTAACACACCGTTTCCTCTTAGGCCTGATATCTGGTTTGATGACGTGGACCCTGATGACATCGAGGCCGCCTTGGGGCCCGAGGCTGCAGACATCGTACGGAAACGTAGCGGAATGCTGAAGTCTAGTGCAGAAGTCACAGAGAGCGTGCTGGTGAAAGAGCACGCGTTTGAGGGGTGAGACACCTCAGTGTTTCCCACAGACTTACACTCTGGGTATACATATGCAAATTCATTCTCTGCCAGCAGGAGGCGCTTAGAGCTGGAGAAATAGAGGTTTCCCCGGTAACTGCTGTACACAAAGCAGCGCTCCGCTCACAAACGCTGCTTTATCAGACATTAAAGGGGTCATATGATGCGATTTCAATTTTTTCTTTCTCTAAATGCAAGATGAAATGAAAATGACATCCAAAATTTTCTGAAGACGGTCGGTTTCCTTCATAAATACAGTGATATAAAAACACCCACACTGGGTTTCGATTTTGAAACGTGCAGTGCTCATGTTTATTCAACGAAGTCAAAGCCTTTTGGAAAATCTATTTGTGGCGGTCAGTTTTGATATTGTGCCGGGCCGCCACAAATAACTCAATGTATGAGAAACACTGCACCTGCAGCTCTCTGGGTAGTCATCACTTTTGAAGGATGTTAACCAATGGCTCTTGTTGTCATGGTGATTTCAGATTGACCCGTGCTGTTGCTATGGACTGTGAGATGGTGGGCGTCGGGTGTGACGGCGAGGACAGCATTCTAGCACGAGTCTCCATCGTCAACCACTTTGGAAAATGCATCTATGATAAATACGTCAAACCCACGGAAAAGGTTACGGACTACCGGACGGCTGTTAGCGGCATCAGACCGGCGGACATTGAAAACGGTCAGGACCCCTCATAGTAGAAATAATTAGATCGATTTTCTCTATTGCATTTGAAAAATACCGTATATTTGATGAAATAGTTGTTTGCATGGATTAAGAATGGAGTAAGAAAATAAACAAGTATTTCTTGCAATTTTGAGTTAACATCTCGGAATTCTGACTTTTTCTCAAAATTGCATTTGTAACACAATTTTGACGGTATTTCATGTAATTTAGATTTTACATCTTGCAAGTTTGAGTGAATATCACAATTCTTGACTTTTTTTCCTCAGAATTGCAGGTTTATAACACAATTCTGACTTTATTTAACATCTTGCAATTTTGACTTTTTTTCTCTCAGAATTGCGTTTATAACAATTCTCACAATTTTGAGTGAACATCACAGTTCTACATATTTCACAATGTCAAGTTATAACACAATTCTGACTATTTCTCACAATTCTAAATTCATATCTCCATTTTATTTAAAGGGGTCATCGAATGCTACATGCACTTTCACAAGTTGTTTGAACTGAAATGTGTGTTGGCAGTGTGTGTACACAACCACCCTAAAATGATAAAAATCCACCCAGTGTTTTTTTTTTAATCTACTAAAATCTTTACCCCTTTCTCAAATCGAGCCGATCTCAGATGCCTGTCTGTGTGATGTCACACAGACAGGCCCCTCCCACGATAGTTTGATTGACAGTAGCGTTTCAGCACAGACTGGACTGGCGTCTTACCTTAGACCCGCCCTGAGTGAGCTGTCATCAGTCCGCCATTGTTTCACCGCCGGAGCAGATGTAGACAAGAATGACTCCTAAGCGATTGAGGTGTTCTGGTGTTGGATGTAATAATGAACATAGCAGTCGTCATTTACTCCCGACATCTGAGCCGCTGAAGACGCAGTGGATTACATTTGTTTCTGAAGGTAATGCCTCCCTGATCTACATAAATGCGTTTATGTTCACGCGAATCAATGCTACAAAACGGCTTGCTCTGAAAAGAGCTGTTTTTGACAGGGTATAAACAATTTTTTTACACTACCATTGAGAAATTTTAACCAAAATATGTTACAGACTTTTCATTAAGACCCTAAAGAATCATATCAACTTATGGAAAATGGGCATCCGATGACCCCTTTAACAACTTGCAATTCTGAATTTTTCTTAAAATTATGTGTTTGACACAATTCTGACTGTACTTCTCGCAATTTTATATGTTAATATTTCTGTGGAAATATGCATTTTGTGATGCAGACACAGATCCTTTCGTCCATGAAATTAGGCGACCATTAAAATGACAGAATTGTGACTCAAGATTGTGAAATATAAATTCACAGTTGTGAGATTAAAAAGTCACAATTACCTTTTTAATTTTTTATTCTGTGGTGGAAACAGGCTTCTGTATGTTTGAGATTATTTATTGTTCTTCATGTGATTGACAGGTGAGGACATCAAGACAGTCCAGAAAGAAGTGGCTCAGATTCTGGAAGGAAGAATATTAGTGGGACACGCCATTCACAATGACTTAAAGGTACAGTACACACAACAAAAAAGGCCATTATCATGCTCGTATTGTTCCAAACCGGTATGCTTTTTCTGTGGAACACAAACACCAGAAAAGCACCAAACTAAGCTATATAACAGCATACGGGATTGTAATGACATGAGAGCGAGTAATGATGAGATATTTTTTTAACCAATGTCAGATTTATTTGAAATATCTCTGTCTTGTTCATAGATTTTGTTGCTGGATCATCCCAAGAAAATGATCAGAAACACACAGAAATACAAACCATTTAGGCAGAGAGTAAAGGTATGAATCGCAAAACACAAATGACGGGGAATTTGATCAATATTATTATTATTAATAAATAAATATGCAGTTAGTGAATTCAAGTCATCTTAATTGTCAATGTCTGCCCTCTTGTCCTCTTCCTCAGAGCGCACGTCCTGCATTGCGGGTTTTATGCAAAGAGATTCTCAATGTTAAAGTCCAGCAGGGTGAACATTCATCTGTAAGTCTCTCATCAACATCCAAGACAAATGAAACGCTCTTCTCCATCATTTCAAACACAAGCTTTTCCCATATAAAGCAAGTTAAGGAATTCAGGTCAGTTTAGGTCACCACATAGACTAGCGTACAAAAGGTTGGGGGTCGGTAAGATGTTTTAATGATTTTGAAAGAAGTCTCTCATGCTCACCAAGGCTGCATTTACTCCTGCGAAGCTGAATTTTCAGCATCATTACTCCACGTGATCCACATGATCCTTCAGAAATCATTCTAATATGCTGATAATTCCAATGTTGAAAACAGTTGTGCTGCTTCATATTTTTGTAGTAACTGTGAGAACTTTTCTGGATTCTTTGATGAATAGAAAGTTCAAAAGAAGAGCTTTTTTTTTTTAAATATACATTTTTTGTAACATCTTTGCTGTCGCTTTTGATCAGTTTAATGTTGTGTGTGCATCATAGGTTCAGGACGCACAGGCCACTATGAGGTTGTACACTCTGGTGAAGAAGCAGTGGGAGGCGGAGCTTAAAGCGGCCCGGGCGGGTCAATTTCAGAAGAGCCCCCGAAAACCCAAAGCTCCTAAAAACCAGAGCAAATAAACTCAGATCAGCCAATGAAAACTCATCGCAAATCGTCAGACTGAAACTGAACACGGATCTGAGCAGGGAACTACTTTACTGACATGGTTTGTTCTGGAGTAATACCTTCAGTTACCTCATGATGAACTGTGTTTAATACTCCTGTCTGAATGTCTCTCAGTTTGTCCCAACTTCTGTTATTTGGGGGATGAGACCATCAAACCGTTCAGAATATCAGTAAATAAGTGTAACTGTATCGTTGAGCCCTTTTTATACCAAGTAATTTAAATGTTCATTTTCCATCCTGTTTTAAATTACAAGACAGATGTAACTGTTATTGGAGACTTTCCATACTTTTCTGTCTGAACTGCTATTAAAGACCCCATACTTGATGGCACAATGTGTTGATTTATTTTCTCTAATAACTATACTGAAATCTTAAAATCCCCTTAAAAGTCAATTTTGTCCATTATAACTCATCTTTGATAATCAAAATTACATTTAAACCTGTAATTCCACTCCCTTATTTAGTATACTCTATGAATATTCAAATTAGCCATGCCCCCACCAACTCAATGATCATTAGCTTTTGGCTCGATTATGTTGTCAAACAGCTATAATGTTTTGCTAATCTTACACAAAACATGTTCTTGTGATATGCTAATGATATGAAAAGCCCCACCCCGCAATTTGGCTTCCAGAAATGGTGTTGATTTATGAATTTGAATAGTTTGTCTTTAAGCATATTAAAATCACCAGATCATAGACGTGAACAACGTTAAAAACTTCATTTTTACCACAGGGTCTTTAAAAGTAATAGATAAATCCTAGTTTAGATATTGGATGTTAGAAACTTACACAGAAACGGAACAAGCATGCAAGGAGGTCAGAGACAAATGTCTTTATTTAGCTCATGGAAAAACAGAGAAAAAGACCATTTTTACACATCATTGCAATATAAGTCAGTTACATGTCACTGATCCAACACAAATACACAGAGGGACAAGATCACTGCTAAACAGCTAATGACGTTCAAGTTTAGGTTGTGCCTAACAATTTTCAAAATATCGAACCTTCTTTTAGCCAGTAATGTTGTGTTCGTGAGATACAGAAGCGTTTAGTTACGTTTTCACATTCAGGAGATGACAAAAAGTTCCAGCTTTGCTTCCAAATCTGGAAAACCTAAGTTAATGATAAATAATAGTTAATTCTGCAACACGTCTAGATGGACAAGAGATTTGAGCTGGTTTGTGTGCTGGTGAAGTATTGATTGAACTAGTTTACAAGCTATTGTTACAAGTTAATTGGAAACAAATTATTTTAAAAAGTATTTCATAAAAGCATGTGAGCATCTAAAAGGATGAATCTCACAAACGTGCCCGGATCACATTTATATGGAAGCCTGATTCTGCCATGCGACTTTTTTTTTTTTAATTGAGAAAAAAAACTAGATTTAAACTGACTTTTGTCCTTGCAATAAAAAAAGTTTATGTCTCACAATTGTTTTTTTTCCACCACAGAATAAAAAATATTAAAGGTAATTTTCTTTTTATCTCACAACTGAGTTTATATCTCATAATTGCGAGTTTATACCTCGCAATTCTTACAATTCTGATATAAACCCGCAAAAAAGTCTGAACTCAGAATTGTGAGATTTAAAAAAAAAAAAAAATGCAATTACCCTTTTTATCTTTTCATTCTGTAGTGGAAACGGGCTTCCATACATTTCACCCTAAAACCAAAAGGAAAAATTCATGTTTATTTTACATTGTGAAAATGCATTTTCATTTCTGCATTGCAACGTAATGACAATTAAGCAAATAATTGTAACATTCCAACCATGATTTATTTGAATTCTCATAGTTCTATTCCTGTAGTACAATGGTTGTATTTAAATTGAAATAAATGTGCTTAATTGTCATGAAAAAAAAAAAGATTTGTGGGTGAAATATGATCCAGACGTACTTGACAGATTTCATGAAATTCACCCTTTAAAAGACAAAAGGCAGTAACAGTGTGAACACTAAGGTAAGAACATGACCTCTGACCTCCACACTATAGTTCTTTTATCTTGTAGTTTGTACCTTTGGCTTTCATACCAGCGGTCAGTGCTGAGACTGGCTCAGATAGATGCAGAAACAAGTAAACAACACGTCACTTTTATTCCAGAAAAGAAGCCCTTCTTCAGTGCAGTGAGAGACGCAAGGCTTGAGAGGAAAGATAGAAACACACGCAAGTTCCTGAAGACGGAAGGTAAACCGCTTGAAATTAACCTCATCATTCATAAAACACTCACACGAGCTTTTAAACAGACTTCAGTCAGGGCAGCTGACAGGAATGAAAATGAGGCTGTGAGGGACTTAAAGGAGTAGTTCACTTCCAGAACAAAAATGTACAGATAATGTACTCACCCCCTTGTCATCCAAGATGTTCATGTCTTTCTTTCTTCAGTCGTAAAGAAATTATGTTTTTTGAGGAAAACATTTCAGGATTTCTCTCCATATAATGGACTTCTATGGTGCCCCTGAGTTTGAACTTCCAAAATGCAGTTTAAATGCAGCTTCAAATGGCTCTAAACGACCCCAGTCGAGGAAGAAGGGTCTTATCTAGCCAAACGATCGGTTATTTTATAAAAAACAAATTAAAATGTATATACTTTTTAACCGTTTTTAAACGCCCTTTATAAAAAAAGGTAAAACAGCAATGTAGGATGATTTTGAAGTTGGAGGAGAAAATGAGATGGGAGTTTTTAGACATACCCTAACTGTCATGAACAGGAAAAAACAGTTCACGCAGAGCTAGACAAGCGTTTTGAGATTAAAAAGTATATAAATGATAATTTTTTTTAGAAAATAACCATCGTTTCGCTAGATAAGACCCTTCTTCCTCGACTGGGATCGTTTAGAGCCTTTTGAAGCTGCATTTAAACTGCATTTTGGAAGTTCAAACTCAGGAGCACCATAGAAGTCCATTATATGGAGAGAAATCCTTAAATGTTTTCCTCAAAAAACATAATTTCTTTACGACTGAAGAAAGAAAGACATGAACATCTTGGATGACAAGGGGGTGAGTACATTATCTGTACATTTTTGTTCTGGAAGTTAACTACTCCTTTAATTACAGCGTTCAATAGATTTTACTGCTGTTTAGCAACAAACCGATTGTTCAGCTGATGAAACATCTTTACACAAAAACGTTCGTGATTTAGGACCTTTATACAGTGCTTGCCGTTGTAAAGAGTGTAAGTCTGTCCCTCACAGCCTTGTTTTCATCCGTGTTAAATTTAATACGGCGTCCGACCTGATTAACGAGCGCAGATCAGACTCTCAAAGACACTCTTTCACCAAATATCAATTAAAGGAAGTGACTGCGAGATTTTAAAGCAGCGCATAGCAAAATTACATTCCACCGTTTCTTATGAACACCAAACATGCTACAGCAAAGGATTCTGGGTAAAGGCCTGTTAGAGGTACAAAAACGCACAAACACACTTTGTTTTAATCCCTGCAGAGGGCCTGAAATCGCTGAAACACCTTTTTTTTTTTTACCATGCCTACACATTAAAATACAAGTTTGTTTGTTCTTTTAAAAGATTTACTTGTCACAAATGTTTCGGAACAAAGAATTCTGGGAGAAAATCCCAATGGCCAAAAATTCCAGTTCCCTGCGCTGGTGTTGAGGTGGTTTGTTACGAGAGACGGAGACGGTCGCTGAAGTTAATTTGCACTCCAGCTTTGGGTTTAGTAAAGTGAAACATAAAATACGTCAGTTTTTATAAAGAAGGATGAAAATAAAATAAATACTTAAAAAAAAAAAAAAAAAAAGTGCATGAGAGTGCAATTGAAACAATTCACTTAAAACCCATTTTATTAAATAAATCCTACACAAACAACCAGAGAACTGATTTGTCCTGACTGACTCACGCTGTCAGAGGTCAAAGGTTAGCTTAAATACATCCCAACAAACTGTGACAGGTAAAGCGTCTAGTCACGTGAAAGGGAAAAGAGAGGGAAAGGACGCAACGGAGGTAGAGGAGGTGAAGAGACGAGCTTCACGGCACTGAACCGTCTGTCGTTCCTGTCAGTTTCTCTTCGTCGCCCTGTTTTTGGTGCTGCAATCTAGCGTAGCTCACCGCTTCACCTCTGAAACACAGAAAGAGCACGATCCTCCATCATGTTGTCGTCAATAATGGCAAAACGTATAATGAAAGGTTACTCAGTGAAGAAATGCTTTGTTGTGTGAGCAACTAAATGCAAAAATGCCCTCACTTCTTTCCAAGGGATGCGAGTCCGTACAGCACTCCTGAAGCAAAAGCGATGGCGTTACCAAACAGAGTTGTGATGGAAAAACTCAGAAAGACGGGAAACAGCGCCATCCTGAGGGAGAAAGAGAAATCAGCGTTAATTCTGATCCAAAAATAACAAAAAAACCCTAACAATAATAAATACACTACTGTTTCAAGGTTTGGGGTCAGTACATTTTTTTTTTTTACGGAAATTAATATTTTATTCAGCAAGGCTGCATTAAATTGATCAGCGATTACAGTAAAGATATTTATAATGTTACGAATGGTTTCTATTTCAAATAAATGCGGTTCTTTTAAACTTTCTAAATATCAAAGATTCCTGAAAACAACGTATCACAGTTTCCACAAAAATATGAAGCAGCACAACTGTTTTCAACATTGATAATAATAATCAGAAATATTTCTTGAGCAGCAAATCAGCATATTAGAATGATTTCTGAAGATCATGTGACACTGAAGACTGGAGTAATGATGCTGAAAATTCAGCTTTGATCACAGGAATAAATTACATTTTTACAATATATTCACATAGAAAACAGTTAGTTTGGATTGTAATAATATTGCACAGTATTACTGTTTTTACTGGATTTTTGATCTAATAAATGCAGCCTTGTTGAGCAGAAGAGACTACATTAAAAAAATCTTATCAACCCCAAACCTCTGAAGTGTATATTATAGTTCATATTAAATTCATATTTGTTCATAATACATTAATATTAGTTTACATTAGTTAAAACAGTGTACAAATGTAAAAATAAACAAAGGAAAAAAAAAAGATTTAAATAAATAAATATACAGTACTACAATGAGTAGAAAAACATCATAATGTAACTTCATAGAAACTTAAAAGAAACTAATGTAATGTAGAATATTTATTAAAGGGGTCATATGATGCGATTTCAAGTTTTCCTTTCTCTTTGGAGTGTTACAAGCTGATTGTGCATAGATAAGATCCCTGAAGTTGCAAAGACTAAAGTCTCAAAACCAAAGAGATATTCTTTATCAAAGTTAAGACTCTGCCACGCCCCCCTAAAACGGCTCGTTCTAACACACCCCCACATATCTACCTCACTATGTGGAAATATTTGCATAATGCTGCCCAAATGTGCACGCAAAGAAAGAAGGCGTGGTTTCAGTAACCACAGTTAGTAGTTTGAGAGAGGCGGAGCATAGAGGACCTACAATAATGTACAGTATTTGAAAAATAATGTGTTTTTTGAACATTAAAGCATGTCAACATATTCTGTTACACCAAATACACAAAATAATGATCTTTTAAAAAGCATCATATGACCCCTTTAATCATGAATTAAAGATTAATACTACGTTACACTAACATTTACTGACGTCATTAAAGGATAAGGCTTTTATTTTATCATTTTACACACATCATTGGGTTGCACTGACATTTGCATTCCGATTAATTGGTTTAGACAGTTACACCTGTTGTGTACAAATTTCTCCTATAAGACAAAAACAGCTCAGTGGATGGTTTAGCTTTCAGAGTTGCCATGTGTCCCCTGGATAAAGACCACTTTTTTTTTCACAGTAAATCGTCCCCTTGGAATCATAAGGTTCTATCTGCATTCCGAGTAGTTTTGAGATATTGAGCTTCAAAGTTTTTGCATTCCTTTCGACTGTTTAGATAGAACCTTCTTGTTTTTTTAAATAAAAAAGTCCCAAAATGTACACAACATTACAGAATCTATCGCATAATGTAAATAAGTTGTCACAGAATAAGAATATGTGAATAACTCAATTTTGACAAAAATTTCAGATAGGACCTTGTAATTCCAAGGGGACGAAATATGTATTAGTTACATAATAACATTGACTATCCAGTGAAGGGAACAACTGTAAGCTGCACTCACCCACAGTAAAACAGTGCTTTCTGCCAGGGCTTCAGACGGTCTGCACGCGCCGCAATAGCATTCGCAAACTCAACGAACTGACAGCAGAAGGGCACCTCACACAGGAACAACACAAACGCCGTCAGCCTGAGGGGAAAAAGAAGAGATAGTTCATCTTCTGAATGGCTTATATACTACATTAAAGAACACTGAATGAATGAACTGAAATGTAATTTCTTACACCATCCAAACTCCAGCCGCGATGTTTAACGGATTCACAGTCACGCAGTTCCAGATGCCCATGGATGCACATGCTAGAAAAAAGACAGAAAAGTGTTACGGTTTTGAAAAGAACATCTATATTTGTCATCTGGACAATAAAAACATTGTGATTAATGCTAAAGATTAATCTCCCGGTCCTAATGGAGGTTTCAGATCAGGACCTGAGCATGTACGTTTATTTAATGGCTGCTTCAGGAACTTGTTATACTTTGTTCAGAAACAGAACATTCAAAAACCCACGGGAAGGAGCAGCTGGTTGACTGGATGGAACGCAAGCTTTTGTTGAGTTTGACGAGCAGCTGCTTCTGTCATCTGTGTCTCAGCATATGTAGAAGAGAACAGAGAACTATTGATGCCAGCTGACACACACACACACACACACACACACAGAGTACTGCTGGTACAACAGTGTGTGTGTGTTCAGATCTAGTGTAAGCTCAATCTTTGTGTCTAATGAATAATACTGAACAGAATATTACAGAAGCGATTAAGTATATCCGCCTGTAGCTAAATCACTCAATATCAGAATACAGTCAGAGACAGACAGGATGTGTTTGCACTGGAGAAGCCATTTCAAACAAAAAAAAAATATTAAAATAAAAAAATATTAGAATAATAATAATATTATATATATATATATATTATTATATATATATATTTTTTTTTTAAATCTAATATTTATTTATTTTAATATTATTTTTTATTGTACAAAGAAATAATACAAATAAGATTTAAATAAAAAAAATTGATTAACATGAATATGTAAATAAATAATAAATCTAACAGTACTATGAGTAGAAAAACAATGTAAAATACGTAAAAGAACGGGGAAAAAAATTAAAACTCAGTAATGTAACTTAACAGAAACTAGATATTGTGCAAATAATATTTTAGATATATTTATAGTATTTATTTTTCACAGTATAAACAAGAAACTAAATAGATGACTGTTAAATGTTAGGATGAAGATCGTATCTGGGAGTCTAAAGCACCTAAAGGATTGAAAACCCCTGCACTAGAAAGAGAGATATTGTGTTATTCATAACACATGGTGATCCCCAACAAAAGCCACAACAGAACAAAAGGATGAGAAAGAAAAGAGCAAGAGAAGAGAAAGTTGCAGCTATGACACCTGTGTTACCATGACAGTGTCTACAAAAAGAGCTCCAACAAACCACTCCAGCATCTCAGAGTAGCACCGGCCAGTCTCAGAGAATCTCATCATATTTATCACTACATGATGGATTAAATGCGCTTTAATCACTATATATGAACTCATTTCCTGCACTTTAATACATAATACTGAAGAATATTCATATACCAATACATCTGCATGGTACTCCAAGAATACTACGGTATAACCCTGGAAGCATAACTATGGTACTTATTTGTAGGTGTTGATTCTCCATGACAGAATTTCTATGGGTTTTCTATGAGAGGCACTGTCTGAAGGCGTGATTGATTAAACATGTCTTTGTTGAAAGCAATGATCTGATCGAATGTATTGATTAACGGAGTGAGACAAAATGATGTGCATATGCTGGTCTATATGATATTGTGATTGATAATAATCAATAATATGGTTCACCTATATTATATCATGCAGGGGTTTTCTGGGGTCTGTGGAAAAGTTTTGAGAAAATCAGTCTAAAAAAATGAAAATAAAAATAAAATTAAACCAAATAAATAAATATACATGTTTGATTAAAATAAATAAATAGACCAAAATAAAATTGGAATATATTTTGATTTAAATAAATGAGTTAGAGTAAATTAAATACATAGATTAAAATGAAAATAATGTATAAATTGATTAAAATAAATAAGTAGATTAAAATAAAAAATAATATAAAATTTAATTAAAATAAATAAACAGATTAAAATAAAAATTTTATAAAATTTAATTAAAATAAGTTTGATTAAAAAATAATACTTTTATTTAAATAAGTTTGATTAAAATAAATAAATAAATAAAAATAATATATAATTTGATTTAAATAAATAAATACTACATTTAATAGTTCAGCACTTTAGTGAGTAGAACATTTTAATAAATGTAACAACAGAACTAATTATATATATATATAAATAATTTTAAATAATGTTTCACACATATTTATAATAATTTTTCACAGTATAAATTGAATCTTTATACGTAAAACACTGCCTTTTAAATTGAGGTCCCTCACACATAGCAGATAATATTTGGGGGGCATCTAAAACATTGAAAACCCTCTAAGGAAGTGATGTCATTATGAACATCTTGACATCATCTTTGCTTATTTTGATATGCTATAGTCAAGGATGTGAAACCACTAGAAGTCCAGCACATGACATGTGACTGTGTTGGGTGTAACAGTATCCTTGTTGGAAAGGTTTCAAATACCATCACACAGGGACACACCTGTCTATCAGGAGCCGCTGCGTGCGGAAACACACAATGCTGATGCAGTTATTCTGCTTTAAACAGCCATATGGCCACAATCACGTGTGATGATACTCACATATGCCACCCAAGTGTGATGATACTCACATATGCCACCCAAGTGTGATGATACTCACATATGCCACCCAAGACACCGGCCAGTTTGCAGATCCAGCGGTACCACCAGGACATGCCATCGTCATCTGTGCCGGTTTTAGTTGGAGCTGCCGCCTCCTCTGAGCTCATTTTCCACCGTTAAATTATTCAGACTCCCGGCGTCTCACTTACAACTCACCGGCACCTGCAGTACCAGCGGCGGCCTGAGGGCGTCGCTTTTTCCCCGACGAGGACAATGGCTGGAAAGTACAACTGATTGTAATGTCAACCGAATAAACAAATTGCGTAATAAAGTTATCAAACAATCGCCATTCAAAAATATCACTGAAAAAAATAGATTTTTAAATCGTCCTGGATACAAAATAATGCTGAAAGGACACTGGTGTGGCGTTATTTATCTGGTCTTATTATGGTGTTATAGAGGCAGAAGGCAGCAACACATCAAAATCCAAACCTCTCAGGATCGCTGTCGAATTTCGTCTTCTTGAAAAAATCTCGAGTCAAAACGGGCCGCTGAATCGGTGTCCTCAGAGTAAAATAATCCTCGGCGTAATGTCAGTTTAATTTAGTAGAGCTTTTGCTCCTCTTGTCTTGGAGGTTCCCTGGTCTGCGTTGCATTGTGGGCGGAGCCAATAATGCGTCACTGCGCGTATGGAGCGTCAGGAGCATCAAACGCAACAGCATTTGCGCAGTCAGGACTATAGTTTACGCACAATTACAGTCAGTTAGGTATGTGTTTAAAAGTGTTCGACAGCACAACTTTGATACCGTTTTAATACAGTCTAATACTTTTAATACCGTCTACTACTACTGCTAAACAAAAACAACTTGCCCCTTTTAGACTTGCACTCTATTTATTTACTAACTGCTTGTTTTCTTTAAAACAAAAACGAACACTAACAAATTAAAGTAAATACATCAAAATATTAAAATAAAATAATATATAATTTGAATTAAAGAAAGAAAGAAAGAAATACTACATCTAAGAGTACTATAGTGAGTAGAAAAATGTAATAAATGTAACATAATATAAACTATCTATCTATCTATCTATTCGGTTGTATAATGTTATTGTTCTCTGATTAATTAACAAATAAATAAATAAATAAAAGCCCAATCGGAAAAAAAGGCTGACGTCAGCGAATCGAACTATCGCGAGATCTTGGGGTTTAGCTTTAACACAGATCTCCAAAACACATGTCGGCCTTCACCCTGTATTTACTCAATGTGACGTGGTTTACAGATCTACAGATCATATTAGATTTTCAGCGGCTGTGGGAAGTTTGTTGCCAGGTGTCTCTGCGCTACACGAAGCCGAGCCTCGCGCAGGGACCAGCAGCAGAACTCTGAACCGGACAGACAGGAGACCATGAGCTTCTTATTGTGAGTTTGACTCTGTGATTTAGATGAATATTTATAGATAAGTATCAGTTTACTCCTTTAGCTCGTCTCGCTAAAGAGCTGGTTGAGTTTTTGAACCGAATTGACCTCAGTTCTGCGCGTGCAGTTCGTTAAATGTGTCAACTTGACAGTTGCGTTAAAATTGGGCATTTTTCACGCAAATGCTTCGGTATCGAGATCAGCCCGATTCTGGCACATTTGTCCCGGTTTCTTGGCTCTCTGATGTGCTGGACTGGAAGTGGGGCAGATCTTATGTAATGCATGTTTGTTTCACACTGTGCTCTTCAAAAAGCACATTGTGTGTCATTTTGTATCAGAGAGTTGCATGGTGTGCAAAGCCTGTGATGCATCCAAAGTTGGAAAATCTTCTGAACACAGGCTGTATGCTGAGAAGCTGAGCTGTTGATGAAATTGCATGAAATGCAATTGTTAGCAGGCAGTGCAACTGTCATATGAATTACTTTTTAAACGACAAAAATGTTTTTATCCACCCAAAATGATGATTAATTCAGTTTAACAGCATTGCATCATTCTAATCGCATCATTTTGGGAGGGAACAGGGTGTATGTGCTTTCTCTGTAATTACTTTTAAAAACATGTTTGCCTCTTACAAGAGGAAGAGAGTGAGGAAATCTCAAATGCAGAACATCTGATTCTGTAATCTGAAGTCTTGGCAGGAGTTGTTTGTTATGATGCATCATTCTGAAATTGAATTTACTGATAAGGGTGCCTAGAACCATTAGAGAAGTCCGTCATAAGAAAACCAGCCTCCTCAAAACAGCTGAGAATGATTTCATTTGGAAACTATTGTGAAGTGCTTGTGATGGTTCACCGGAAGCATGTGATTTCGGAGAAGTTAAGAACAAATGCAGACATGTGATGTCATTGCCATTGTGATGTTTTTGAAGCTGAATTGAAAAATGCAGAGTGGCGTGTGTAATCCTTTGATTGGAACCCGATAAACTGCATGTCTGTGTCTGAAGATTTGCTTTGTAAATCAGATGAGAAATATGTAAAAAAATGTGACATTATAACACACACACACGTGCTTATAACAATCCTGGTTAGGCGGTATTTCGTATAGACTAAAAAAAAAAAAACTTTCACAGTAAACATTTTTCACAGTATAAATAATAAACTATACAGATGGTTGTTAAAGATCATATTTGGGTGAGTGTGGCACCTAAAGGATTGAAAACCCCTGCACTAGAGAGAGAGAGAGATATTGTTATTGTTATCGGTTCATAACACACGGTGATCCCTAACAAAAGACATGACAGAACAAAAAGATGAGAAAGAAACGAGCAAGAGAAGAGTAAATTGCAGTTGCTATGACACCTGTGTTACCATGACAGTGTCTACAAAAAAGAGCTCATACAAACCACTCCAGCATCTCACAGTGAGTTTACAACTCAAATCTCAGCATATACCACTAAATGATGTATTAAAAGTGCTTAAATCACAAACTCATTTCCCTCACACACAATACATAATATTGAAGGATTACTGTATTTCGTATACCAATGTATTTGGTACTCCAAGTATAACCCTGGAACCATAACTACTTGTTTGTAGGTGTTGAATCTCCATGACAGAATTTCTACAGGTTTTCTATGAGTCACTGTCTGAAGGTGTGATTGATTAGCCATGTCTTTGTTCAAAGCAATGATCTCATTGAGTGCATTGATTAACAGAGAAGGACGAAAACATCATGGTTTGCCTTCATCCCAAATTGATGAGCATATGCTGGTCTATATGATATAGTGATTGATAATAATCAATAATATGGTTCACCTATATTATATCATGCAGGGAGGGGTCTGTCGAAAAGTTTTGAGAAAATCAGTTTAAAAAAATGAAAATAAACTTAAACAAAATAAATATATGTTTGATTAAAATAAATAATAAATATCAAAATAAAAAGAAAATATATTTTGATTTAAATAAATGAGTTAGAGTAAATTAAATACATAGATTAAAATGAAAATAATGTATAAATTGATTAAAATAAATAAGTAGATTAAAATAAAAAATAATATAAAATTTAATTAAAATAAATAAACAGATTAAAATAAAAATTTTATAAAATTTAATTAAAATAAGTTTGATTAAAAAATAATACTTTTATTTAAATAAGTTTGATTAAAATAAATAAATAAATAAAAATAATATATAATTTGATTTAAATAAATAAATACTACATTTAATAGTTCAGCACTTTAGTGAGTAGAACATTTTAATAAATGTAACAACAGAACTAATTATATATATATATAAATAATTTTAAATAATGTTTCACACATATTTATAATAATTTTTCACAGTATAAATTGAATCTTTATACGTAAAACACTGCCTTTTAAATTGAGGTCCCTCACACATAGCAGATAATATTTGGGGGGCATCTAAAACATTGAAAACCCTCTAAGGAAGTGATGTCATTATGAACATCTTGACATCATCTTTGCTTATTTTGATATGCTATAGTCAAGGATGTGAAACCACTAGAAGTCCAGCACATGACATGTGACTGTGTTGGGTGTAACAGTATCCTTGTTGGAAAGGTTTCAAATACCATCACACAGGGACACACCTGTCTATCAGGAGCCGCTGCGTGCGGAAACACACAATGCTGATGCAGTTATTCTGCTTTAAACAGCCATATGGCCACAATCACGTGTGATGATACTCACATATGCCACCCAAGTGTGATGATACTCACATATGCCACCCAAGACACCGGCCAGTTTGCAGATCCAGCGGTACCACCAGGACATGCCATCGTCATCTGTGCCGGTTTTAGTTGGAGCTGCCGCCTCCTCTGAGCTCATTTTCCACCGTTAAATTATTCAGACTCCCGGCGTCTCACTTACAACTCACCGGCACCTGCAGTACCAGCGGCGGCCTGAGGGCGTCGCTTTTTCCCCGACGAGGACAATGGCTGGAAAGTACAACTGATTGTAATGTCAACCGAATAAACAAATTGCGTAATAAAGTTATCAAACAATCGCCATTCAAAAATATCACTGAAAAAAATAGATTTTTAAATCGTCCTGGATACAAAATAATGCTGAAAGGACACTGGTGTGGCGTTATTTATCTGGTCTTATTATGGTGTTATAGAGGCAGAAGGCAGCAACACATCAAAATCCAAACCTCTCAGGATCGCTGTCGAATTTCGTCTTCTTGAAAAAATCTCGAGTCAAAACGGGCCGCTGAATCGGTGTCCTCAGAGTAAAATAATCCTCGGCGTAATGTCAGTTTAATTTAGTAGAGCTTTTGCTCCTCTTGTCTTGGAGGTTCCCTGGTCTGCGTTGCATTGTGGGCGGAGCCAATAATGCGTCACTGCGCGTATGGAGCGTCAGGAGCATCAAACGCAACAGCATTTGCGCAGTCAGGACTATAGTTTACGCACAATTACAGTCAGTTAGGTATGTGTTTAAAAGTGTTCGACAGCACAACTTTGATACCGTTTTAATACAGTCTAATACTTTTAATACCGTCTACTACTACTGCTAAACAAAAACAACTTGCCCCTTTTAGACTTGCACTCTATTTATTTACTAACTGCTTGTTTTCTTTAAAACAAAAACGAACACTAACAAATTAAAGTAAATACATCAAAATATTAAAATAAAATAATATATAATTTGAATTAAAGAAAGAAAGAAAGAAATACTACATCTAAGAGTACTATAGTGAGTAGAAAAATGTAATAAATGTAACATAATATAAACTATCTATCTATCTATCTATTCGGTTGTATAATGTTATTGTTCTCTGATTAATTAACAAATAAATAAATAAATAAAAGCCCAATCGGAAAAAAAGGCTGACGTCAGCGAATCGAACTATCGCGAGATCTTGGGGTTTAGCTTTAACACAGATCTCCAAAACACATGTCGGCCTTCACCCTGTATTTACTCAATGTGACGTGGTTTACAGATCTACAGATCATATTAGATTTTCAGCGGCTGTGGGAAGTTTGTTGCCAGGTGTCTCTGCGCTACACGAAGCCGAGCCTCGCGCAGGGACCAGCAGCAGAACTCTGAACCGGACAGACAGGAGACCATGAGCTTCTTATTGTGAGTTTGACTCTGTGATTTAGATGAATATTTATAGATAAGTATCAGTTTACTCCTTTAGCTCGTCTCGCTAAAGAGCTGGTTGAGTTTTTGAACCGAATTGACCTCAGTTCTGCGCGTGCAGTTCGTTAAATGTGTCAACTTGACAGTTGCGTTAAAATTGGGCATTTTTCACGCAAATGCTTCGGTATCGAGATCAGCCCGATTCTGGCACATTTGTCCCGGTTTCTT